ACCGTGCATGTGGATTGTTTAGGTAGCATGGTGGATAAGCAAGTTGGGCACCGGCGGGATCTCAACTAAATAGGCTAAGGTGAGTTTCAAGTAGATTTTAATGGGGTACACGTCAAACGTAATTACCTTTACATAATTTATTTTGTTGGACGTATTTTAGTGATTAAAGTAGAAAATGCATGATTTTAAATGATGTTATGAAATGAAGGTATTGATGTTTATACAAAGCGACTTTATACATATTAAGAATGCATTGTTTCTTTGATAAAGTATGTATGAAATACTTTGGTGACTTGGAAAGATGATATGTATTTTTGTAAAAAAATAAATAAACATGTTTTGTATCCAAAGGAGGAAAATCTTACGTTGTATAAATGAGGCATTGTGATTTATATATTTACTCACTGACATGAGAATGGTAGATCCGGATATGGCGAGTTAGGGTCACCTCCTTTGTTGCGTTTGTATTGGGGTCGCTCCCTTTACAGTAAATGGGTTGCTCCCATTGGTAATGTATTGGAGTACTGTGCATGGATATATGCGCCAGGTACTCGGCTAATAGGTATAGTGTCAGGTGGACACATTGCATAATGGTGATTAAACCGAAATTAGCCTAACGGATAAGTGGACTGCTGGGTAGTGCTCCTCCACTGATTCCGGTTGTTATGGGTCACCATACTGTGTGGTATTCATAGAACTTTGTAAATATTGATTGACTGCTAACTTATAATGTTTTGGTTGGACTTAACATTTATTTGACACATCACATCAAGCATATGTAAGTCATGCATTTTTGTTTGATAGTATAAATTACTTGAAATATTGTATTGTGCAAACTCTTGAATTCACCAGACATGTAGTCTAATTTGTTTTGTTTGTCGACGTGCATCTCAGGAACTGGTTCAAGTGAATGTGCTAGCAACATTCTTGGTTATTAAGGCTAGCAGGTAAGTTCATAGGATGATGCAATGCTTGAGACTTTTGGAAGCTTAATCTAGTTTGGGGAAATGTATTTTTTTGGAAGAATATGAAAGTTTTATACCTTGTAAATAGTCGTCTTTATTAAGACTAGTTAGTAATCATAGCTTTTGTATGATCAGTTATTTTGCAATCATTATTTTTGCAAATGTTTACAGGTTTAAAAAAAATGGCAAAACACGACTTTTCGAACGGGTCATGCCGAATTTTTGCCAGATTTTTAAAAAAAAATCTAAATATAGTGAGTTTCAATGATGGATGTCATCACCGGTGCAGTCGCCACCACCGCCGCCGTCATTGTCATTACCACTGTTGCCTTCACCCTGATGGCGGATCCAGAAACTTAGGTGATGGACGACCTTTAGAGTTTAAAAAAAATTCAAAACCGAATAATTCATCCTAACCAAAAAGGTTTATGGTTATTCGGTTTGCGGGTTTAACAGTTCGGTTAATCGAATAAGTTAGGTTTCGGTTTCGATTACTTTTCACCATATTAGTTTTACCGAATAGCAAATTATACTAGAATTTAATTTATATAATTTTCTTCTAGATGAATTGGTCTGAGCATGTACATAATTGACATGAGGTGAACTGATTTATTTTTAAACTAAAATAACAAAAAGTTGAAATATATTTAACAAAACCATCAACCAATGTTATCATTGTAGCATTATTGCAAGAACTAATCGTAGCAAAACAATCAATGTGCAGAGGGAACCACGCTAAGGAGTGGGAGGGGAAGCAAAGACATAGGAGTTAGTTTTTTAAACTATATTACTTAAAAATTAACATTTGAGTGGGGCCTTTCCCATGCGCTTTCATGTAAATCCACCCCTGCCTTCATCCCCTCCACCATCGTCGATAGCACCATCGACATTGCCATCGCCATGACTATCACCACTATTATATTCAACAAACCAAATAGACAGATTCAAATTCTTTTGATTCATTCCATTCCGGTTCCTACAAATCAATCACACAGTTTGAATACCGTTTGGTTAAATATGAATAAATTTTGTTACAGTTCATTGAAATTCCAATTTCTTGGACATGTTAAAATTCCGACAGATTTCATTCTACGAACCAAACGTCAACTAAATCTATTAAAAATGATTTAACTTCTCCGAGAATTTATTGAGAGAGTAAGATCAGAAAATGAAATAACCTATTGACTCCGTCAAGAGACACAATTAATATATACAAAGCAATTTACACAAATAGCCCTTCAAGTTCCAATCTTCAAGCTCCGCTAGCTTTCATAAGTTGTACTTCGTCGCGAATGAAAAAGAGACTGAGACGCTTAAGTCAGCCTTAGAGGGATCTAGGGGTTGGAAACCCTCAAAGCGTTCACTGGTCTGAAGACGAGGGCTACCATTATGCAGCGACCCCTGGAAGGGAAGAATCAGTGTTGTTAAAAATTCACACCCTCGACCATCGAGGATATTTTCCACAACCATGATGCCAGTAATCTAGATTCATACGACCAATGACCTTGCTATGTATGATCGCGGTTATTTATGACCGTAGAACCTTTAACCCTTGGTTGAGGATTTATCCACGATCGTTATTACCTTCGACATATCGTACTAACGGTACATGTTATTGTATATTAATTATGACTTATGTTACATGTGGTCTTTATTGCAGGAATAACGGTCAAAACCGAGCATTAACAATGAAGATCATAAACCACAAGGGTGATGCCTGATTGGTTTGAGCTTGATCTCCAAAGATCAAGAGTACCTGAAGGTCTCATGTTTAAATCCAAAGAGGAATAAAAATCCCCTTGTGACTATGGAGGTTCAAATGCGGTGACTATGTGCTACCCGCAAAGCAGGTGGTCGCCCTGAGATTAGTCGGCTCGCATAGCGGGTTAGATATTAAGGTTAATCGAAAAAAAACCAATGAAGATCATAACGGAAGGCAAAGATTCAAGACCAACCATTATCTTCATCTAATCACATTAAAAGTCAACCGTTGGACCATTCTAATGAATCACCTATTAAAGGTCAGTAGATCACAAGAAACAGACCCGAAATACTCGAATCTATAAGCAGATAGTGAAACACAAGAGCAATAAGAAGAATCAACTCTAGTTTTCTATCATTTTCCACGATCGACGTATTAATTTACTTTCGTCGTTGTAATCGTTGTTATCAACGAAGACGTCTCTGATTGACGTCCATAGTGTATCAGGAACATCTAGTATCGTTTGCGGGTTTTTCCCTCGTTAAAGGAATTTTTCGCGTCACCAATTTCTCTCTTTTGATTATTATTTCTTTGTTCTTTTCGTGTTTATTTCAAAGTAGTTGATCTTTAAGGGTGCGTTTGGTGCGCAGACAGGACAGGACAGGACAGGGTAGGACAGGACAGGACAGGACAGGACAGGACAGCTGTTCAGAGTTTGGTAAGACAGGACAGGACAGGACAGAACTGGTTAAAATGACCAATTTACCCCCAATGAGCAATCAGAAACAGCAAACATGAATCAAAAACAGCAAACATGAATAAAAACAGCAAACAAAATGCAGTAGCAAACATGAATCAAAAACAACAAACATGAATCAAAAACAGCAAACATGAATCAAAAACAACAAACATGAATCAAAAACAGTAGCAAACAAAATCAGAAACATGAATCAAAAACCAGCAAACAAAATGAATCAGGTGCTGTTTTAGCAGATATGAACAACTACAAGATGCATCAGATTTCATCAAACCCAGCTCACGAATTCAAGAAAACAGCGAATACAGTCATCAATTAGTTGAAATTGCAAGAAACCCACTTGATGAAATCTAGAACGAAAGCTTATGTTGCAAATTCAAAAATACCTATAATTAACAATCTCAGAAAACCCAAACCAGTCATTTGCACCACTGTACTCGAGAAGAGAAGGCGATTAACTCGCCGGCAAGCAACAGTCGGTCATTTGAAAACCATAATGCGTACCTGAGTATGGAGAGAAGAGAAGAACAGTCGGTCGCCGTCGATTAACTCGCCGGCAAGCAAYAGTCGGTCGCCATCGATGGGGTTGAAAACCTAGGGCTTTTTTTGGCAGATTGAAGCAACAGTCGGTCGCCATCGATTGGAAGGGGAACGATTGTGAAGGGGAACGATTGGGAACGATTAACAGATTGTGAAGGGGAACGATTGGAACTCGCCATCGAGATGAGATGGTCGCCGTCGATTGCACCACTGTACTCGAGAAGAGAAGACGTTGTGAAGGAGAACGATTGGGAACGATGATGAAGGTTTTGAGAGGGTAGAAAGGTAAATTACTTCTTGTTCCAGTTAGTTCCATGGGGGAAGGGTGGACTAACTTGTCCCACGCGTGTTCCACCTTGTTCCACTTAGTCCCACATATAACCACACCAAACATGGGATAAATGTGTTCTGTCCAGTCCTGTTCCACCTTGTTCTGCCTACCAAACGCACCCTAATTGTAAAAGCTCCACAAACAAACTTCAAATTATATTTCTTTGCTCTATTCCTCCTGTAATTGGTCTTCAGTTAGAAAAACATTTAGAAGGAACCACTCGTAAAGTTCAAATATTTGGCCAGTGAGCCACAAACCAGCTACATAACAACCTCCTTTCCTTTTTCCATTGGCTTAACCATTAAGCCATCATCAACAAGCTTTGCTACTAACGGCTTAGCGATTAGTATAAAGATAGGTATTGCAACTCTTTAAGACCTTTTTATTTGTATTTGGTTTACTAGGAGCTATGACTTACCCATATTCAACAATCCAAATAAAAGAAACTATCGTTGTTGGACAACTGTTTTTCCTCAATAAGACGATTCAATTTGAAGGTCTGTGTCAATTCATTTATCCAAGATTCTACACATTCAAGAAACACTCAAGTATTCACATGTGATAGGATGCTATTTTATTTAAGGAGTAAGCAAAATACAATAAGCACACTCAAGTTCACAAGATCTAGACTCGATCTTTATATTTAAAAAACGAAAAAACACAGGCATAACAAAAGAGTACCAAAATATTATTCGAAAATACGATGGAAGCCAACTGTAGACCGTGCATTTGAGATGAACCCGTTCACATCAATCTGAATAGACTTCAATGATGGATTCGATTGCAGGAATTTGGATAACATTGTAACGATAAAAGCCTGCTTCGTTCAATATCGTCTTCCATTCTACCTCTGTCCTTTCTTTTCCATTTTCGAATAATGAGAACATCATGAGATCATGAGCAGTACGTGTATACTCAAACGCATCATCTCCTCCACGATGCAAGATGGTATCCACTATAATAATTTTACCCGTTTTCCCAGGTATGGAATCCCGACAGTTTTTAAGTATCTGAATACATTTGTTATCGCTCCAGTCATGTAGAACCGACTGTAAAAGTTAGAATTATATCAAAAATCCTAAATAGATTGCACGAGATCTCTTGTATTTATTCATCCCGGCTTTTCAAAAGATGCATTTCTTACTACAAATTCAAATAATTATGTTTTTTATTTTAAAAAAATTGCATTAAAATGAAACCAACCTTAAATATATTCCTATTAAAACATAGACTATAAAAAGATTTGTTTAGTAAATTTGATATCCTGATTGTTAATTGGTCCATTTGCAGGACATGATGATATTTTCGTTCAAAAATATAAAATATAAAAACTATACACCTCGATGAATTAGTAAAAAGTCAATTGAAAATCGGCCTGAATAAGTTATCTTTATTCGGTTAACTGAACCATTTAAACCGAAAAGGAAAACCCAAAACCGTTTTCATCCAGATGAATTATTTGGTTTTGAAGTTTTTTTTTCGTAACACCCTAAGTGTGCCCCCAACTATAAAAGTTTCTGACCCGTCACTGACTGTTCCCTCCCCCTTTTCTCTTTTTCCGGCCACAAATCGCATCCATCTGAACCCCTTGAATTCTGTGTTTTGCATCAATATATACAAAGATGAAAACCCAATAGAATTCATCAAAAGTTTATCAAGAACGATGAAACCCACACCATAAAACAAGAAAAAAGTGATGGAATGATAGAACACATATTTGCAGGGTCGCCGGAGTTGTGGAGCTTAAGGGGGCATCAGCTTTCAATGACAGAAACTGAAGCTTCACCGGAGTTGCAGAGTCGCCGGATATAGTTGACGATGGAGGTGCAGGCACATAGTATAAATTCGTCGGAGTTGTGGAGGTTAAGAAGGCAATGTCGGAGGTTAAGAAGATGGTCGGAAAGTTGATGTAACTTAAATTATTAGTTTAAAGGAAATGCTTGCCATATCAGCATTTTAGATTAAGTTTTTTAATTTCAAATATGACATGTAATCCTAGTTGGCATTTACTTAAGCCATGTCATATTTTAGAACAAATTGTTTGAAAAAGTAACATACTTTGATTTGATTCATATTTTAGGTAACGTACTTTTAAAACTTTCATTTTGGTACCTAAGATGTAAAGTTTTAAATATTTAAGTATCCGGGTAACCGGTTGAAGCATTAACCGGTTATCATGTTGATGTGGTATCCAACTCAGTATTATTTGTTATTCAACCCAATTTCTTTTCATCACTCACCACATCAACATGGTAACTGGTTAATATTTCAACCGATTACCCGAGTACTTAAATGTTTAAAACTTTACATCTTAGGTACCAAAATAGAAGTTTTAAAAGTACGTTAACAAAAATAGAAATCAAGTTAAAGTACGTTACTTTTTTCATACAATTTGCCCTTTAAAATAATACTAAGTGTAGTAATTTTTTTACCAGGTGTATACAATTCGGTTCAAACCTGATGTAATTATTTAAATTATAACAGATTGAAATACTTGTAACACCTTTGGGATGTATATATAGGTTTAATCAAATGAAAACCCTAAAATCTATGAGATTTCAATATGACCCATTTATTTAAAATAATTATGTTATTTATGTTTATGTTGTATTTATAAAGTGATCATAGTGTGTTACAAATTGCACAGATCTCAAATGCAAATCAAGTCATTTGTATAAACCGTACAAACCCTCGATCGCAGTGTTTAATTTAGTGAAATGGTTTAATATGATGAAAATGTTTTGATATAATTCTTTTCTGGATGAAATTGTCATATTTTTGTTTCTATGTAAAAATGTAATTGTTTTATGTATTTCTTGTTTTGATGAAATTTGTTTTTTAAATTAATATAATGAATATGACAACATCCACAATTAACGCCATTTACAATAAAAATGACTAATCAACCCTTATAATTAGAAAAAAAAGTGAAAAAAAGAAAAATTATAATTGATTGAATAAGGTTTGTATAACCGTACAAATGATTTGATTTGCATTTGATCTCTCTCTCTCTCTCTATATATATATATGCATATATATATATATAAGTGTGTATATATATGTATGTATGTATATATAGAGGTTGAGTTACGTGAGAATAATAGTTATGGTGAGAAGGTGAGAACATAACCTTGACAACGTAGTTGAAGGTAGTTAATGAAAATTGAAGATAGATTAATATAATTGAAGGTACTCAAAGTTGTTGAAAAAATTAACGGCTTAAAAGTGTTCACACCGTTCTCATCATAACTCTCTTTTCACATGATCTCTTGTATATATATATATATATATATATATATATGTGTGTGTGTGTGTGTGTGTGTGTGTGTGTGTATATACATACACATACACATATATCTACAGGACTCATCAAATGCAACCCTCTTAGATATTGCACAAATGCAACTTCATCTACACCACACAATTAAACAATCAACGGTTGGAGATAAGGAGGTTACATATTTAAAAAATTAAAAACGAAAATACTCCTTAAAACGGGGGATAATCTACGGTTAGGATTAAATTTCACTGGGTTGTATTGGTTGCAACATTTGAAAAAGTTGCATTCGATTTACATTCTATATTTCTACATATGTATGTATATAAGGGTCAGGTTTAGAGAAAAACGCTAAATAAAAGATGCAAGATTTTTAAATTTAAAAATAAAATTGTAACCCGTTTTTTTAACCACATCCATTGAATCAATCAATCTAACGGACGATAAAGTGTTATTCAGTTTTTTTTTTATTTTTTATTATCTTTTAGAGGTTCTGTCTGAAACCAAAAAGCCAACGAAATTGTTCACACGAGTTTAGTAAAAGAAACACTACATCTTAAAACAGTTCTTTATAAAAGACACACATATACTTAGGTGGTGTTTGTTTTTTAAGAGGTGCTGAAGTCTGAAGTCTGATTTCACTTCTGATTTATAAGAGGTGGTGCTGAAGTCTGAAATCTGAATCAGTCAGACTATTTGTTTTTACGTCTGAAGTCTGAAATCTAAATCAATATAAACACGAAAAAAGTCTCATAACAACTAGAACCGATATTCATATTGCATTAATTGTGTCGCCATCATCCTTTATTCATTGGTTTGATCATACTCAGAAAATAACTCATATATAGGAGAGATCGATTTGTAGAGATCGTTTTGGATAGATCGGTAGCTTGAGACCGAGCGAGAGATCAATATGGTGTCTAGATCGTATGATGTGGGATAGATCGGTATGATTTGGTAGCTGGAAATCAAGCGAGAGAACGAGAGATCGATATGGTGTGTGAATAAGAGCCCATTAAGAGTTTAGACTACCACTTAAAAATTCAGAGGACAATAAGAGCTTTTCAGCTCTTATTTTCAAAAAAAAATCAAACGGTCTGAAAATAAAAACGTGTGACAGATTCAGACTGAAGAGGTATTAAGAGTTTTTTTTAAAAAAACAAACAAGCCCTTATACTTAGAGAGATACAACGTACAAGAATTAATGCCAAAAATAGATTTCCTCACCAACTTCTAGCAAAAGTGGCTTAATGCAACTTAACATCAAAAACCAGTTTTAAGTTAAGAATTTATTGACATAAAAGTGAGTTTTAACGATGCGCCTTTAACAACGAGATGTTTCAGCAAGTGACTACTGCGACAATATGTCATCTTTATAAACCCTTTACGACGACAAAAGTCACTACAACAAAATTGGGTTTATACGACATCCCTAATCTCCAAGCGTCCCAATAGACCGTTTTATAGGACTTAATTTATAGAATCAAAATATAAAGCGTCCTATCTAAATGTGTTGTAATAGGTTTATATGATGCTTTTGGGCGTCTTAACAAGTTTTTTAGGATATTTTTAATACAAAATGTCGCATTAGCAATTTTATAGGACATTTGTTTTTATAGAACAATTTTTCAAATAGGGTTCTATAAAGTTGATCATAAGACGCTTTATATTAAAAATGTCCTAAAAACTTATTACAACGTCAAAAAAAGTCATATAAACTTATTACAAAACCTTTAGATATGACACTTTATTTTTTTGGTCTTATAAACTATGTCCTATAAAAAGGTCTATTAGGACACTTAGAATTTGAGAGTGTCCTATAAACCCGATTTTGTTGTCAGACCCGTTCCTGACATTTTTTAGGCCCTGGGCGAGATGTAAAAAGGGGCCCTCGATAAGTACGATATTTTTTCAATATATTGTTTTTATCATCAGAAATAACATTGAATTCATATAAAACCGTTTTCCCGAGTATTCCTGGACGCAAAATCAATCAATACTCATTTCTAAATTAATATTATCTACTAGAACATTTTTATGTAGTATCGGTAATTTGTTTCATCATCAAAAACATCCTATGATATACTTTTGGTACATAGAATGACATCATTGGGGTCAGAAAATTGATTCTTCTGATTTTCGAGTGACGCTATGTAAATCAATGTAAATAGGTTGGTTTTCCATGCCATCTCATGTTAATTTTTTTTTAACATCATTTTAAACTTTTATATTATGTTTTCGAATTTGGGAATATCAACACCATTTTAACCTCTTTATATATATTTTTTTCTCCAATATATTTAATTTATACATGTTTGGGTCTTTAATAGTTAATGTAGTACCAAAATCTTTTCTTGTTATATTAGATACTAATTTTTTTATGTGTCTTCTTACTATTTTTTTAAAACTACTATTATATGTATTTTAAAATTTTGGGCCCCTAATTTTTATGGGTCTTGGGCGTACGCCCGGCCCGTCCCGTCCTCCCCTAGGGACGCCCTGTTTGTTGTAGTGAGTCGTTGCTAAAACCCTAGTTTCTTGGGGTGCGATTTAGATGTAATATATAGACAAACCATAAAATGGACACTACAACAAAATCGGGTTTATAGGACACTCCCAAGTTGTAAGTGTCCTAATAGACCTCTTTATAGGACTTAGTTTATAGGACCAAAAAGATAAAGTGTCCAATTTAAAGGCGTTGTAATAAGTTTATATGACGTTTTTTGATGTCGTAATAATTTTTTTCGGACATTTTTAATATAAAGCGTCCCATTATCAACTTTATATGACACTATTTGAAAAAATGTCCTATAAAAAATTCAGTTTATAAGACAATTTCTCAAAGGTGTCCTATAAAGTTGCTAATGAGACGCATTTTTATTGAAAATGTCCTTGAAAACTTGTTAAGACGTTCAAAAGTGTCGTATAAACTTATTACAACACCTTTAAATAGGACGCTTTATATTTTGATCCCAATAAATTAAATCCTATAAAGCGGTCTATTGGGACACTTAGAGATTGAGGGTGTCCTATAAACCCAATTTTGTTGTACTGGGAAGAGTAATAATACCTTCAAGAAGACAGAATCTGCAGGGGGGATGGCTTCAAACATGTCACCTCCAACATGGGTAACTCCTTTATATGTTGGTGCAGTTGATATAACCTGTGGCAAGTCAAAGTTAATACCTTTAAGATGTGGATATGCAGTGACGATATCATTAATGGCAGCCCCAAGACCACCACCAACATCAACCAAAGTTCCTTTCAACTCATCGAATCTGTACTTTGACTTCAATGCATCCATGGTGATCCGTGTTCCACACGCCATTCCTTCGTTGAAGACGTCGTTAACACGAGGGTTGACGGAAAGGAAGCTCCAGAAATCGACCCCGAAAGCATTCATAGCTGTCGTACCCCCTTGCGCGATGCATTTACTTAGGTTCCCCAAAAGCGAGCGTAGAGACGAGTTTGTAACCATCATCACGTAAGGTGCAATGGTGGTGGTTTTGGGATCTTGTACGAGCCATTTAGAGCACGGGTTGAGGGTGTAGAGTGGTTCGTCGGTCTCTGCAGGTTGATGCACTTGATCGATTATTTGTCTCTTGACCAGAAACGACATTAGGCGTGAGAGGCCTTCAATGTTTAGTGACGATGAGTTGATTCCGTGAGCGATTTGAGCCAAGGTGATGGGCCCGTCGTGGTGGTTTATTACGTCCGGAATATGGAGCTCTAACGCACATCGTATCGCAACGACATCTAAACTTGCGTAGATGTGTTGCAAACACTTTGCAAGGCCTCCGAACATCGCATCAATGTCTTGTGTTGTAAATGTAGTCATTTCTACAACAAAATTTGATGTAATGATATGAATTCATCAATAGAAGAAGAGTATTACTTTTATAGACATTTGTATAGTGCATCTAAGACTACTAGATGCGTCAATTTTGGCCTTTTGTTTTCCAAAATAATGGTGTTGTTTAATAAACCCTCCGAGGGTAGTATGGGAAATGTTTATAAAAACCCAATAAATTATATATATATATATATTAGAAGAGTACTCGTGTAATGTAGCGGAACACATCTCGATTTTAATATTTTATTATATTATTTGTCTTTATCGATGTTATAATATGGTTTTATGTGTTTTAAATAAAGCAATAATGATTTTATTTTTGAATAAAATATAAATTTGAAAATATCATAAAAATTTTAAAAAATATATATCAATGTTAATATTAAATCAATTATTTAAAAGTTYTCATTTTTTATGTAATTTTTTTAATCTATTTTTTTATTATAATTTAATTTAAGTTTAATAAYGAAATAATTTATTTTTGGTTTAATAATATAACATTTTATGAAGATAATAATTAAGTATTCTGTTAGAACTCAATGATTATCTTAATTATATTTTAGATTTTTTATATTTAAATGAGATGTTTATAATGTATTTGATTGTGTTTATCTGCAGTTAGTTACACGAATTCAGATATGAAGCTTTAATAAGTTGTACTTACGTACAATCTACTTGCAATCTTGAGTTTTAAGTAATATACATTAATAAACATTACTTTACGCATAAAAAATGGTTGTTAAGAGTTTTTATCAAATGCTTTATAATATAGTGTGTGTATATATATATATATATATATATATATAATTTGTGCGTCAGGTGGTAAAAAAATAAAAAACTGAGAAACATCCTAGTAACCATTCCTGGACACTATGAAGGTAAAACAAATCGAATCTTCACAGTAAAAATACTGTGAAGGTTACCTTCAGAGCGTTCAAATGTGAAAAAGTGGTCTCACGGGTCTCACAAAAAAAGACTTATCTCACGTGATCCCAAGTCTCTCTATATATTGCAACTAAAATATAATAAATCAGTCAAACTAAAATAATTTGGAAAACAAATGTATGTCACCAAAGATATTTTCATTAGTTTTATCATATGATAATTTTTTGTACAAGGTGGACTTTTTTATTAGATATTTTATTTTTCACGATGGAAGATGTAACATACACAGAGAGGTTGTTTCATTTATAAACCATATCATTTGTATAAACTACATAGGAAAGTTCTATTAGGAATTTGAAAACCGTTCACAGTGTCCCACTACATAGGAAAGTTCTATTAGGAATCAGAAAAACCGCTCACAGTGCCCCACGTGTCACTGTTACAAAAAGATTCATGTTCCATGATTTTAGCCATTTTCCTTTTTGGTCTTGATTGAAACATATTTAATTGACTGTTACAACTAAGCAGTTCCATAAAAACATGTTTTCGTAATAATATAATGAAATCAAATAAGACGGAGAAAGGGAGGAGCAGTTATCTATGTAATTACGGTCTTTGTTGGCCGAGGCGAGCACTCTCTTTCAGGAGAGTGCTGTAACTTGTTCGCTAAATTCCTTTCCTTCATCACGTCGTGGGCAACCGCCTATGCATGTGTTGATGAGTGAACCATAATATGCTCATAATTGTGAATTGTGCATAGCTAAACTTGCATAAAGACGTCATTTATTGATTGTTGACGCAATGATTAATGTTCAGTATGGCCTCAAACCACAACTTTGTTCATTGAGGTGTTCACCGTGAATCGTAGCTCACTATCTCCAATTAAAAGTAATATATTTATTGGTGGACCATGAATACATTTATCAAGAACCATGAATCATGAGTACATATGAACCATGAACATTTGTTCACACATGAAAGATCTTTCAAACATGAATTGACATATGCATGTTCGTAAAAGCTTGTTGATAACACTTATATGAATTTAAGCATGTGTTTATGAGTGAACAAGTTGAATCTCATATCATTAAAATCTTTTCCCAGAATACCCCTTGTAAACGTTATTCACTTATGTTACCTCGCTTCTGTGTGTAATTAATTAAATTTTATGTCATGAATGGTCTCAACCATAAATTTCAAAGATCAATAGATGAGATAGGTTCACAACGTTAACACCATCACCATATATTAGGTTAAAAAATAAACTCACCCCTATATATATGTATATATATATATATATATACATATATCAAGAGAGGTTCATTTAAGAAGTGTTAAATGTATGAGAAATAGAGAAGTGATCTTAGCCCTTGGTTTATATGATTAATGGTCAAGATTAAAGGAATTGATTGTAAAGCACCGTATAATTAGGGCACACAATAACAATTACATGGAAGTTAAAGGGGTAGTTTTGTAATATGTTGTAACTGAATCAAAAGAGGATCCAAACAAATAATAACCTCTCTGCATTCATCATTACGCTATTTTTCATCAAATTTTCTACCAAAGCATACTCAAATCTCTCAAATATACTCATTCATTATAACAAAACTATATCAAATCTCAAAATCACTGAATCGATGACTCAAAATGGAAGATCATCACAAGGATTCACACGATCTTAAAGAAAAAGGATCGACAGTGGAAGATGAGCAAACGATATACATGAATAAAAATGAAACACTGAACATAATCAAGAAGAACGATATGGATTTCATATATGTTTTGGAAATCATTGAATGATTTCATTTACATCGTTTAATGTATATGTAGGTTTAGAAAAATCATCAATGCAACATTCCGCATAACTGATTATCTTGGTGACTGTATTCGAAAGAAAAATGTGGATCATCTATTGATCTATCTTCCAACATTCCAAGAATCATCTCACAATCACCAACACCAACTAACGCATTCATGTCCCTCCTAAAATTCTTTTAATCAAGAACAATTCGATCCAGAAACATAAAAACCACCTTTCTAGGACATGTGCAACTTATGAGCCTTTGATGCTCCAATATTACAAGTTGCAACATTGTGAATAAGAATTTGGCGAGTTAAAGATAACTGCCTTCGTTTTCGTGACATATTCATTTCATTTTCATCGATAAGCATATGATTTTGCTTCTAATCAAAATAATGAAGTTCATATGATGAACCTTTTTGTCATGTTTATGAAACAAAAAATACACGTATAAAGATTTTTATATTTTTATATTCTAATCAAAATAATGAAGTTCATATGATGAACCTTTTTGTCATGTTTGTGAAACAAAAAATACACGTATAAAGATTTTATATTGTGAACAGAATACATACGAAACAAACATATTGTGAAACTAATATATGTTAATCAATACATTAAATACTACTAGAAGGGTACTCGTGCAATGTATCGAGACACATCTTGATTTTAGTGTTTCGTTTTATTCCTTTTTTATGTCAATATAATACGATTTTATGTGGTTTTGAGAAAGCGATAATGTTTTTATTTTATTTTTGAATAAAATATGAATTTGAAAATATCATAATTTTTAAAAAAAAATTATATATCGATATTAGTATCAAATTAATCTTTTTAAAAGTTTTTATGTTTTGGTATAATTTTCTTAATTCAATTTTTTAATTATAATTTAATTTAGGTTTAGTAACAAAGAAATTTAATTTAGGTTTAATAATATAATTTTTTTATAAAGATAATAACTAAGTATTCTGTTAGACTTATAATTATCCTAATTATATTTTAGATTTTTATATTTAAAATGAGATGTTTATCCAATATTTGATTATGTTTATATGTAGTTAGTTACACGAATTCAATATGGAGCTTTAATAAGTTGTACTTATGCGCAATTTACTTGTAAACTTAAATTTTAAATAATATGCATCAATAAGCAGTACTTCGTGCATAGAAAATGGTTTTTAAGAGTTCTTGTCAAATGCTTTATAATATAACATAGATAATTAGACGAAAAAATCAAATAAAACAAAGCCTTAACGTTATGTTCTCGAAACTTTTTTTTACGAATGAAAGAAAAGGAAAAAGAATAGAAAGTGAAATAACTTTTTTGGAAAGACAGGAAAAGAAACACAAGGATAAATTATAATGATAAGTTTCTCCCAAAGCTTTCCTTCCAAATATAGGCCGAAGAGAAAGGAATAAAAAAAATAAAACCCTTTAAAAAGTTTATTAAAATTACAGAACTACTCAACTTGTCATCATCAAGGATATATATATATATATATATATATATATATATATATATTAAAACAACTAGAAAGGTACTCGTGCAATGCATCGAGACACATTTCTATTTCAATGTTTCGTTTTATTTTTTATCCATGTCCATATAATACGATTTTGTGTGGTTTTGAAAAAGCGATAATGTTTTCTATTTTTGAATAAGATATAAATTTGAAAATATCATATAAAATTTGCAAAAAAAAATCAATGTTAGTATCAAATTAACTATTTAAAAGTTCTTGTTTGTTTATTTTTTTAATTCAATTTTTTTATTATAATTTAATCTAACGTAACGAAGTAACTTAATTTAGGTTGAATAATATTTTTTTTATAACGAAGTAATTTATATTTAGTTTAATAATATAATTTTCTTATAAAGATAATAATTTAATTATTTTGTTAGAACTCGATAATTATCATAATTATATTTTAGATCTTTTTATATTTTAAAATGAAATGTTTATCCTCTATTTGATTATGTTTATCTGCAGTTAGTTACACAAATTCAAACATAGAGCTTCAATAAGTTATACTTATGCACAATTTACTTGTAATCTTGAATTTTAAGTAATATGCATCAATAAAGAGTACTTTATGTATAAAAATAGTTTTTGTCAAATGCTTTATAATATACTATAGATATATCTGTAGAAATTCGAGAACACAGTGTCAAATAAAAGCTGTAATAATTTTGGAGTTTTTAAATGATTAAACATCCAACAGTTTGTATAATTTAACATCTAAACTACCATAGATGTTGTATTTGTCATCTTCTCCTACAAAAGAATGCAAAAAC